TTTATTTTATATATTTAAATGCCATTTAACAAAGAAAAATCAACCAAAAAAATGAGTTCGCGTGTCACCTCTGACACACGTGTCCTAGGTTCGCCATCACTGCTCTAGCCCCATCGTGCTTACCTTCCCTGGACACCTCTGGATCCCCAACAGCTACCTTTAATCTGCCAGGTATCTGTGTGATCAGACAAGAGCTGACCGATGAAGCAACAGCTTAAGGCACAGAGGGCAGGAGGCAGGGATCTGGAGGCTGCCTACCTCCCTGTGACACGGACTCTCCCCGTGGGAAGCCCGTCTTTCTGGAAAGGGCCTGTGTTGGCACAGTTGGCTCGTGTCAGGCCCCCACCCCTGGAGCACTCAGCATGGCAAGCACAGGGCCCTGGAGGAAAGGAGGAGTGGTGGTCTGACCCAGGAGGCGGGGCCCCCACAGCGCTATAGCGAAGTCAGTTTTGAGTCCTGGCCGGTGTGGCTCAGTTGGTTGGGTGTCGTCCCATGCACCAAAAAGTCGCCAGTTCAATTCCCTGTCAGGGCACATGCCCGGGTTGCAGGCTCAGTCCCCAGGAGGGAGCATGCAGGAGGCAGCCATCGATGTTTCTCTCTCATATCAGTGTTTCTCTCTTTCTCTCTTCCTTTCTCTCTGAAATCAATAAAAACATATTTAAAGGGGGAAAAATCAGTTTTGAGGCACTTGTAAAGGGCTTGCATACAGCAGGTTCTTCAGGCTAGAGCTGTATAAAGGAGGCCAGGTATGCAGCTAGATTTGTGTCCTCTGCCCCCTGGCCAGACCCCGGCATGGGGAGATGAGCCAGAGACCATGGGTGTTGGCTTGGTGCCCTGGGGGAGAGGCGCTGGCCTGTCTGTGGACAAGTCTATGACTCCCAGCTAACGAGCTGGCTGCAGACACCTGGCTGTAACATTACCTGCGGGCCCTGTGGATCACTGGATTCGGGGAAGTAACTGAGGTGGCCTGCGGCCCACGGCCAGAGCGGGGCTTGTGGGCTAGGTCCTGGCCCTGCCTTTGTCTCCTTTTCTCTATTCCATGGGGACCATCAATACAATAAACAAAAATGACAAGAAGCAAATCGTCATGAGATGAGCCATCTCCTTCTGGACACGTTCGTAGTGCTGGGGTTGGGCTCTGGGGGCCACACAGTGCACAGCAGATGGTATTAAATGAGATGCGTCAGACACCCATGCCTGGCCCTTCGTAGATACTCAAAAGCTGGTGGTTTCCTTCCTTTGTATTTGTAGAATTCAGAGGGTGTTGGGAAGGAAGTCATCCGTTTGAATGAAGTTCTTCCTTCCCCACCGTGAGTGAGGCCCCACTGGTGTCGCATAATTATTAGTGAGCAGAGGGCCATGGCATCGAGAAAGAGGCAGGGCACAGTGGGGGCTCAAGAAGCAGTTCTTGGAGGGAACGCTGACTGCTTGTTACACTGAAGTCTATGCCGCGGGAGAGAATAGTTATTCAAGGTGAAATGCAGCCACGCTCGGTGCCCCCGGTGACTGCACGTGTCGTGACCTGTGTGCCTTCCCTTGCAGTCCACCTGATCCCGGTGTCCGTGGCTAAGAATGGAGTGAGTAGCAAGAGTCGGAAGAGAATCATGCCCGACCCTGTGACGGAGCCCCCCGGGATGGACCCGCTTTACGAAGCTCTCTTGTATTGCAACATCCCCAGTGTGGCCGAGCGCAGCATGGAAGGTAGGCCTGCCTGCGCTGCCCAGCCTGGTACCTGGACGGACACCCCTCTGGGGACTGGTTCTTCAAACAGCACAGCCTGGTGGTGAGGAGCGCCCGGCCTGGGCACAATGCCTGCAGCTGCCACTAGGCTGTGCCCTTGAGTGAGTTCCCAGGTCTTAGCTTCTTCACTTCTAGGGCATCACCCCCAGCTTTCCTGAGGAGGCTCTCTGGGGCTTAGGACATCCTGCTGGTGTCTTGCAGGAAAGGTGTGGGAAAATATGATTTCCACATTGAATTTTGCTTTTTCTGAGAGTGTACCAAAGAATGATGTTGAATCTGTTCGTGCCCTGCCTTGTTTGATGAGAGATTTGAAGAAGACATGTATTCACTGTTCACTGTTTCTGGGCCTCCCGTAGTCTGTGGATGTGAGCGAGGACACAGGAATATTCCTGCCCACATTTCCCTGGCCTCCAGCTGGCCACCATAGCCTCCCCGTGACTTCTCGGGGCCTGGGGCATAAGCAGCCCACTCATGTCCCTCTGCCCTGCCAGCGAGTCTATTCAGAGGCCCCCCACCCGGACCCCAGCACCGCACCCTGCTCCCCATTACCCCTCCTAACGTCAGTGCAGTGAAAAGAATCGACACTTCTTGAGTGATAACAGTACAGTGTGTCTGTCTCTCTCTTTATGTGTCTCTCGCAGGTCATGCTCCGCATCATTTTAAGCTGGTCTCGGTGCATGTGTTCATCCGACATGGGGACAGATACCCACTGTATGTCATTCCCAAAACAAAGCGACCAGAAATTGACTGCACTCTAGTGGCTAACAGGTAAATTGCACTTTAAAAAAAAAAAGTTCCTTTCCAGAATCTGTTCTCTCTGTCCTAATCATGATGCTGACTGGGGAACGACAGGATGGGGAGTGACCTGTCATGGAGGGAGTACTGTTCACCAGGAGTCTGATCTTCAGGACAATCCTGCATGTTACTGCCATTTCACAGGTGAGAAAACAGAGGCTCAGAGAGGCGAGGACACCTGTGTGAGGCCACACAGCAGCCAAAGCCCTGGCCAGTCTGAGGCCCACTCTCCCACCCTGCTGTTCCTCAGTTTGAGAAGCGGCTGGACGTGGTGCAGTGAACACTGGGTTAGGAGGCCTCAGATCTGGCTCAGCTCTTCCATTCAGGGCAACAGGCAAGCCCCTTCGTCTCTGTGAGCCTCAGTCTTCTGTCTCTGAAATGGGATGGCGACGCTGACCATGCCGAGTTGGGGTGAGGAGTCAGTGAGATGATAGAGGAGAAGGAACACTATCATTTACTTGCAAAGCCATATAACTGGATGCTGTTACTTCAAATATCCACAGGGGTAGAGACAGCCTGCTCTTGGTTGAGAGCCCTTTGGATGAAGAATAATTGAAAAGAGTGGAAACGGTGCATGTGGAAGTAGCATGGCTCTAAAACTGGAGGCACAGTTAGCAATAAAAATGATGGGCCAGGCCTCAGCAAATGTGTCTGGGGATGCGTAACACCCCGCACGGAATGTGCCGAATGAGGAGAGGGGACGGAGGAAAGTGCTCAGTGGGGAAGATGTTATTTTGATGGAATGCTCCCGGTTGCCAGCCTGCCCCGGGCAGCCTGGTGGAACCACGGATTGCCTCCCCGCAGCCCGGGCTGTTCTTTCCAAGTGGACCACAGTGTGAACCCGGGGAGGTTCAGGTTAACTATTCGAATCTCAGGCCATCTCATTGCCCAGCATTATGGAGAAGGTGAAGTGAACCATCTGTGGTAAAAACATGAAATACTGAGTGACTGCAGGCTTTCCTGTGTTGTTTCATTTCCTGCTGGCGGTCACGATGCTCCCAGTCTGGGTGTCTGTGTTTTCTGTGCTCAGCGAGCATGGGGGCATGTCCCAGGGCCCGTGCCAGGGTGCCACGCAGACACTGGCTTTCCTCCTCCTGTCTCTAGCCTTCTGCGTCAGCCTTCCCGTTGGGACCTTCTGCCCCTGCCATTCCCACCTTTGCACCTGCCACCTGGCTTGCTTGTCCCCCATGCCTGCTTGGCCCACTCCCACAGCTCCTTCAAGGCCCCCGGAGATGCTGGCTCCTCCAGGAAACCTCTCCCTGCGTGTGAGAATGTGTCCTCGGCTTGTATGAGGCACAGCCAGTGCCTCCCTGCAAACTGGATAGGAAGACACATGGGAACGGTCTCTGAACAAAGTATTTCATCATCAGACCTTACCGGGCCTGAGGACTAGGGCAAGGGTGGAGGTCACTTGCTGTGCTGAGTATTAACTCTTCAGTTCCTGGATCATGGGGATGGGCTAGAGCATCCAGAGTGGCAGGAGGGCACAGGGTGGGGTGCAGGGAAGGCAGCTTAGGGACGTGGGGTTGCTAGATCGGGCACAGTGGAGTTTCTTTGTGTTAACAGCTGGCACAGTCCTACCTTTGCCTGCTGGCTGGGTATCCACCCTTTGAACAGCCCGGGCACAGATAGGCTACTGGGCCTCTGAGCTGGCCGGACCCAAGACAGCCTCCAGGACTCAGTGCCCTGCTTTATCTGTGGCTACTTGCAGCTTCTGATCCTCTTTCTCTATCTGCGCTTCACCTTCTCAGAAGTGAGAATTTGAGAGGCAAGGCTCAGACTAGGGGTCAGTCACTGTTGCTAGAAGGTCCCTGGGCACTTGAAGCTCTGGGGGCCATTCTGGTCGTTCCCAGAAAAGGGGCCCATTGGGCAGGGGCAGTGGGCAGGGCCTCCCCCCGTGCACCCTGGGACTTCACAGCTTGCCTTCCCAGCGTGATTGCCTCTGCCCTCCCCACATCACCAGCTTCTCCTTCCTGTATCATGCATGCCCAGCTCGAGCCTGGCATGTAATAGTTGTTGGACGGGTTTCGTTGCAGAATGAATTCAGGATCTAAGTGAGAATCACAAGTCATAATTGCCTGTCATATGCGCCTATCAGATTGAAGTCTCAGCACAGAGTCCTGTGAGGCCGATAAGCCTGTGTGTGGGGGGAAGATCTCTTCACTCTCTGAGCCTTGGTGTACAGACCTGGAACGCGGGGGTAGTGATGCCTCCCTTCCCACTAAGGTGGGAGAGCAAGGCCCTGAGCCTGGTCCATGCTAAGAGCTTGATAAGGAGGTGACGTGTCATTTAGCACAGAAGCCTGCAGGTCTCCTAGGGCCAGCCTCTCTTCCTCCCTGAGTGGCTGTGGTCATGAAGCCAGGACAGGTCCCAGGGCCCCTCGTTCTGTCAGGCGATGGCAGGGTGCACGGATGGGGCCGTTTCTGGGGCTCCCATTTGAGAGGCATAGTTTCTGGGGACCAGCTGCCCTGGCTGCCTCTGCCTTCATTGTCCCTGGCCTTGATCTTGTGGCCTAGTTTGATCAAACATTCTGTATTTTTAGGATCTACTTTTAAGTCCTTTGCAGAAAGTGGGTGGGGCATGCATGTTTAATTCATGCATGTCATTTAATTAAGTCTGTCTTTAAATAAAAACAATAATTGTCCATTCACAAGAGTGGACAGGACTCCCAACCATTTGAATCCACTTCAGGCCTCTGAATCCCCTGGGACTGTGGGATCGGGGTCACCAGCAGTGCCTGCCGCCTCCCCAGGTGCTAGTGCAGCTTCAGGAATTATTCACTTTTATGGCCTCCTAAAAGGCAGTGAGTCCTGGAGTGTGGCCGTTACTCTAGCCCAGTGAAAGGGGATGTCTGGGCCGTGCACAGCGGGGAGCCGGATGTCCATTCAAGACGGTCACCCCAGTGTTCCCCTTCACAGTGACACATGGCGTGGCTCCCGAAGTGTTTGTAGCAGAAGCTGTGTCTGCGTGAATGTCCTGTGCCTCATGACAGAGGTGCTCTCTTGACCCTCACGGGACTATGTTTAGCCAGCAATATGGTTATTAGCCATTAGGATGCTATGTTTAGTAAGTAGTTTCTTTTGCATTCATGAATATAAATTCGATACTCTTTTCTACATCCAAAGAAGAAAAAAATAAGTCAATATTTTTATCCAATGAATTTTATTCTTTTTTTAAATATATTTTATTGATTGTTTACAGAGAGGAAGGGAGAGGGATAGAGAGTTAGAAACATCAATCAGCTGCCTCCTGCACACCCACAACTGGGGATGTGCCCGCAACCAAGGTACATGCCCTTGACTGACCAGAATCAACCTGAGACCTTTCAGTCTGCAGGCCGACACTCTCTCCACTGAGCCAAACCGGTTAGGGCATGAATTTTATTCTTAAATGCAGGTCGTGTGCCAGGTGCTGTCACATGTACCTGGCTCATGTACCAGGAAGTGGCATGTGAGCAGGCACCTAAAGAAAGGGAAGGACCCCCGCCCTGTGAGGATCTGGGGGAAGAGTGTTCCAGATGGCGGGAACAGCGTGTGCAGAGGGCCTGAGGCTGGAAGAGTTGGGCATGTCTGAGTAACAATAAAACAAGTACACGGCTGAGCAGGAGGCGTGACGGGGGGAATGGGCCTTTAAGGATTTAAAGAAGGTGATTGCCCTCAGGGGGCCTGGGAAGAGCACATCAGCCATGTGTCTTCTCTTCCATACGGGACGTTTTTCTTCTGTGAATCCTCATCTCGCCCTGCCACAAGCGCGTTTTCACGAACGCGGTGAGAAACAAACACCTCACTAAGCAGTCGGATTCCCTGAGAACCGGGGACATCTCAGCAAACACTTCCGGTCGTGAAATTCTGTTTCTAAAATTGGCAGCCCCGCTCTCCCAGATCCGCAGAAGAGTGGCCCGCAGCCGGGCGGTTGGCTCCTGGGGATGCGCGGCCTTTGTTTATGCGCATTCCTCTCAGCAGCCTCATTATCAGTTGGAAATTGTATTTCCGAGTTTGCAAATATTTACACGTTTCAGCCTCAGGATGAAAAGCGCATGCTCTGTCTGCATGCAGGGACAGCCCGCCCGCCCGGCACAGTCCTGGTAAATTACGACAAGATTAGCATTCTCTAGTCCCAAAGCCTATTTTATAAAAGATGGATTTTTTTTTAGCTGTATGTTTCTGAAAGATATTAAACCTATTCTGGCAGCCCCTTTTCAAGCATTGTCCATGTCAATCGGGCTCTCAACAGCAGGGGTTGGCCATTAGAGCAGTTTCTCTTTGCTGCTTTTCATGCTGAATTGGTTTAGCTGGGACTAGTCTGTCCGCTTCTGTCCAGCTGGAAAATGTATACACATTCATAGGCCATTTTACTATTCAAAGAGAAGGTGTAAATATTCATAAGTCATCTCATTATTCAGAGGAATTGTGTCTCTATTCATAGGTCATTTCATTATTCAGGGAAATGGTGTATTAGTGACTAGAAAGATAAATTAAATCTTGATTTGCCACATGTGCTCCATGGCAGAAATATATTTTAAAAAAAAGTCAGGTCCCATAAACACATCGGTGGTGTTGTTGTTTTGCTATTTGTGCCCGCCCCACCCCCCCATGAAATGACATATTGTATGTGCAAAAGACATAGTGAATGTAGAGAACTACAGAGATCTTGGTTATCTTAATCAGTTAATTTTCTTCAAAAGAGCCTTTCCAGAGGTCAGATAAGTTAAGGATTAAGAGTTACCCAGGTGAAGGTTGGGGTCGGGTGGGTTGTTTTTTAAAAATATATATGTTTTTTATTGATTTGAGAGAGAGAGAGGAAAGGAGAGGGATAGAGAAATAGAAACATTGATGACAGTTATCAATAGGCTGCCTCCTGCACGCCCCCTAGTGGGGATCGAGCCCACAACCCGGGCATGTACCCTGACCCGGAATAGAACCAGTGACCTCTTGGTTGATGAGTTGACACTCAACCACTGAGCCACACCGGCGGACAGGGTGGGTTTTGAGGAGGAAGAGGCAGCATGTGGCAAGTCTTGGAAGCGTGAAAGAACAAGTGTGTTGGGGGAACAGAAGTCGGTTGGTGGCTGTGTGTGTCCGGAGCTCAGTATTAGAGTGGAAAGGGCTGGGGAGCCCTGAGCGAGGTGGGGCCAGAACAGACCAACAGGCACGCGTGGCCCCTTCCAAAAGGCTGCATGTGGAAGAGCAGTGACGAGTTGGGGTTGCCTTTTAAGGGGATCGCGCTGGCAGTGGAGATGGCAGGGGCAGGATTAGGCTGCAGGTAGTCCAAAGAGGAACCCGTGCTATCCAGACAGACGCTGCCTGAGCCAGAACCCAGCTGGTGGCTGCAGGGATGCAGGAGAGAGGAGGGCAGCCA